ATTTATAATGTGAAATTTTTTTCTACTAGCTTTTAAGAATTTCAAAATCTATCTTTGGTCTCTTCTCTTATAGTTTAACTATTATAAGTCCAGTGACTTTCTTTTATTATAACATGTTTGGGTTTTATTGAGTTGTTTGAATATGAAAAATGTCCTTTTGAATCTGAAAGACTGGAGAAGTTTTCAACTACGATTCCTCCAAAATTTATTTTATACCTCTTTTCTTCTCTCCTTCTGGAATTCCAACAACACGTATATTAGGCTTTTTGATATGGGTCCAAAGGTCAGTATGGCTCAGTTGAGATTTTTCTAATTTTTCTTTTCCTACTTCAGATTGGATACTTTCTACTAATCACTTTTAAAGTTTACTGAGCTGCCTTCGTCATCTCTATCTGCCATGATGCCCTTTGAATTTTTGTTTGCCATTGTATTTTAAAGTTCTAAAATTTCAATATGGTTGTTATTTCTCTCCTGAGAACTTATATATTTCCATTCATTTCAAGAGTGTTTACTTCTGCTTCATGGAAAATGGTTATAATACTTGCTTTATTATTGTAACAAAATAATCTTTGGTAATTCAAACATCTGGAACATTTAGGGGTTGGCATCTCTGAATTGTCTTTTCCCTTGAAATTGGTCATATATTCCTGGCTCTTGTGTATCAGGTAATTTTGGATTGTATCCCAGACATTTAAAAATTTTTTTCTTGAGACAGAGACAGCGTGAACGGGGAGGGGCAGAGAGAGAGGGAGACACAGAATCCCAAACAGGCTCCAGGCTCTGAGCTGTCAGCGCAGAGCCCGACACGGGGCTCGAACCCACAAACCACAAGATCATGACCTGAGCCAAAGTCGGACGCCCAACCGACTGAGTCACCCAGGTGCCCTCCCAGACATTTTTAATGAAACATTAAGAGACTGTGGTTCCTATTAAAATCTCTGGAGTATATTATTTTTGTTTGTTTGTTTTAGCAGGCAATCAACTGGATTAGGTTCAAATCACAAAGTCTGCCTCACTTTCTGTATGTGTTGGTTCCAAAACATTGAATATACTGTTTGGGTCTGTCATTCACTAAGCCACTTAGAAATTAGTTGAGTTCTGAGCAATGTCTTTTCTGCATTTCTTTGGGTATATTCTGTGAATGTGCAGCTTATGGGTGACCCTCAAATTTTATCAGTTCATCCACAGAACTAAAGTGTCTCCTTCAGCAATGTCCTCTTCTCAATCTCCTCTTGAACTTTGGATCCTAAAGGCCCTCTTTCAAGTTTATTTGAACCAAAAGATTAGATTCTATCAGAGTTTTAGCCTCATACCCTATCACATATTTCTACACTACCAGATGACAATGTTGGGGTTACAGTGGTGAAAGTGAAACATACATTGGCCATTACTCCCACACTCTACATAAGAAAAGCTCTTTTCTCAGTTCCTGTATCTAGAGAAATGGGTTTTAACTCACGACTTCATATGCACTGACGTTAGTGCAGTTCCACCAATGGTGTTGGCCTTGGGCAGGCACCAGGAAAGGGGCGGAAAAAAAGAAAAAAAGGGGATTCCCCCCCCCCCCATACTCTCAAGAGTCACAGGGGCCCTCTTTTCTAGTGCTTGGGTCAGAAGATAAGCTTCTCTCAGAATTTTTACCTCTCTGTTCTCAGGTGTTTCCCAATTTGGCCAACCATTAGTTTAAAGCCAGGAGATAAAAGGGGGGAATAGTAATAATAATAATAATAATAATAATAATAATAATAATAATAATAAATGGATTCACCATGCCACACTAATCGATCTTGAAGTTTTGACTTCCCTCCTTAATCTTCCTGCTATTATTTGCTTTTCAAAGCCCTCAGGTAGTTGCTCTTTGTATTTTTCTCAGAGTTTGATTGTAATCCATGGGGAATATAGGCTGTAGTGGACTTAATCTATCTTAGCTGCACCTGTAATGTTCCATTTATTTTTATACTTTATATTGAACTTATTAAATGTTACATTTACATGTTTTAAATTACACAACAAAATGTTATAGTTTTGTTTAAACAGTCATGTGTTTTAAAGGCACTGGGGAAAAAAAAGATAACCCACACATTTACTGTTTTGTGCACACTTCTTTTCTTCCTAAAAATGTTTTCATTTGATATCTTTCCCTTCGGCCTGCAGAAATTCCTTTAGCATTCTTTGTAGTTAAGGTCTTCTGATGATAAACTCTCTTTTTAATCTAAAAATATCTTCATTTGGCTCTCGTTATTGAAGGATTTTTTACTGGATGAATAATTTGGGGTTACTCTTTCTTATTTCTTTTCTTTCAGCCCTGTAAGTATGATGTTCAATTGTCTTCAGTCTTTCAATTTTTTAATGACAAGTTGGCAATCATTTTTGTCATTTATACATCTTCTTTCACAAATCTCTCTTTATATTTGCTTTAAGACAGTTTTATTATGTTGTGCCTCCTTGTAGTTTTCTTTGTTATTCATCCTTCTTAGAGTTCACTGAACTTCTGGGATTTATAAATTTATATTTTTTACTTAATTTTTATTCAAAGGATTCCTGTATCCTAGAGGATGGCATTCCAGCCTTGCAAAGTATGGCCTCCAACCTGGCATGTTAACTGTGTCTTCAAAGGGCCTTTTGATGCTTTATCCGGTTGGCAGTTTTTGGTTGGTATAATATATAATACCGTGGAACATACGGTCATGAGTCCACTCCTGCATCTCCTTTAGAGAAAAGTAGGTTCCTGGTTGGATAGAATGTTATTGGGATCCATGACAACGGTCAAAAGCTCTGTAAGCCTTCATATGCTAGGGCTAGCTGAAGACTTTGTGGACAGGAAAGGTAAACCTATAATCAGAATATGTGTTAATTCCTGTCCAGTGTGGAAGCAGTTCTGCTCTGCCACCAAATGGTTGATTGGTCTCCTTGAGAGACTGTGTCATATCTGGGATTCAGAATTTGTCTCTGTTGCTAGCAAGTTGAATATTTCGTGGTATTAATAGCTACCTCATTTTTGGTAAATGAAAGCCCATGTTGTTTGGCCCAGAGGTAGCTTCTATCCCTGCCACCATAGTGCCACAATTAGTAAAACATGACAAGACTAAATGATATTAACTGACCGCAACATTTTGTCTACCTGATCTGGTGTCGCTCACACATGCTCTCTGGTGGGTACTAACATGAAATACAAGGTTGTTTACATACACTTCATGCCTACTACCATGTCTCTCCACATCCCTCTTCCTCAGACTTCCTTTTCCTTGGTCTTCTAATACTGTTCTTCTCAAATATCTTACCAATTGACAATCCATGTACTGCTGCACATGAGTTTATATACGTTCTAACTTTAGGTCACTTATCCTTTCACACGAAGTGGGTCACCAGATAGACTGATAAATTTCTTACTCCACAGGGAGAATTTTCATTTGTCACTGTTCTTCAGGGCCACTCCTGAATGGGGTGATGGTATCCTGCCCATCTATTCCTGGCTTGCATATTGAATGAACACATACATGAAATCAAACTCAGGATTTCTCCTCTTCTATCTGCTGGTCATAAATGATCCCCCAGGAAGCCATGTACACACATGAGCTGAGGGAGAGGTGCTGATGCAACCATGGTGAATGAAATGGAACCAGGGTTACATACTCTGGTAGCTTGCTTGTGCACTCTGGTCCTGATCATACTTGATTCCAGATGTACCACTTTCATCTACAATGTTATGACCTAGTGAGTCTGAGAGAACCCAACTCACAATGGACAGTTACAGCCACTATAGGAGCTATACCCTATAGGAGATGCATACTTAAGTATTTAGTATTGTATTTAAAAATGGAAAGAAACAGGGCCGCTTTGACCTAAACGTTCATTTTTTTTTTCAACGTTTATTTATTTTTTTTGGGACAGAGAGAGACAGAGCATGAACGGGGGAGGGGCAGAGAGAGAGGGAGACACAGAATCGGAAACAGGCTCCAGGCCCTGAGCCATCAGCCCAGAGCCCGACGCGGGGCTCGAACTCACCGACCGCGAGATCGTGACCTGGCTGAAGTCGGACGCTTAACCGACTGCGCCACCCAGGCGCCCCTAAACGTTCATTTTAAATTCTGATTTTAAAAGAATTTTTTTCTTGTGGGCCTCCAAAAGTATTGTGGGCCCTAGGCATTTTGCCACCTTGCCTCACGGATGAGTTGGCCCTGCTAGGACACCTCTTGGACAGAAGTCAGTCAGACTCGACGTTAATAGAAAGACAACTTACTGGGCACGAGGAATTTTGGGACGGAGATGTAGGCGTAAGGAAGAACAGGGCTTAATAAATTTTATACAGCCTTAAAATCTGAAAAACAAACCACTTTCGCATCCAAAGTAACAAGGTCTGAATCACACACAGAAACACAAGCGCGCGCGCGCGCACACACACACACACACACACACACACACACACACACACACACAGAGTACAGACGCACAGTGGGTTCCCCAGTGTCACGGAGAATGAAAACCCAAACACACCTACACACACCGAGGCATTGTTTCTTTAAAACAAACGCATACTTAACATCCGCGGTGGTCCTGGCTCTACTGCAGGCGCAGGTGCCACCCTTGGGGCGCGAAGGACGAAAGTCCAGGCCCCCTCACAGAGCTCGCACCCAGGGAACTATGGTACCCAGGAGCCTGCTACCTCCACTTCCCGCCGGCAGGGTCGAGGCCCCGGAGTCCGCATGCCCTTGCTCCGCGTCCTACAGCCTGGACTTACATCCCACTCGCCTTCTCCACCCATGCGGGACCACCTGAGAACACCGCCCTCCACAGGGCCGCGTCTCTTCCGCCGCGCGCAGGCGCACGCCTGCGCCTGCGCACTCTGAGCACAGGCGCCGCCACCGCCCGCTCCCTGCTGCCTGGGCTGCTCCCGCTGGACTGCATTTCCCAGAAGCCACCGGGCTCGCATCCCCCTCGACCCCTGAGTCCTTTTCCGGTGTCCAAACAGCTGTGGTCCCTACGTGGTGAGTAAGACCTATCCAAAGATAAAAATCAGCGGAGGCTTCCGCACTCTGACCAGAGCGGGACGCAACCCGCGGAGGGGATGAGAGGTCTCCAGAAGAGAACAATCCGGGAGATGACAGGGCGTGTAGAGCCAGGAGTCTCAGGCCTGTGTCTGCGCGAGCAGCAGAGATTTGTGTGCCCCCGAGATGCGTGCGTGTGTGTATGTGTGTGTGACAGCGTGTCTCCGTGACGTCGTCTGCGTTTGCATGTCAGTGACAGATACTTGATTTGTGCTTATTTAACTTCATGGCTTATGGGTGACCGACGGTTGTGTGGCCGTGTGGGTTGTCATTGGAACGCACGGCTCTAGGCTCCGCGGATCCTCCGCCCTGTGTCCTCACAGCCACTTGGGGACGGCCGCAGATAAAAGAGGGAAGCCAGATTCGGGGCCTTAGAATGGAAGAATGGAGAATTACAGCAAGGTCACACAGACTTGATCTTGAGATGAGATTTTTTTTTTTTTTTTTTTTTTTTTTTTGAAGCTCGATGTGGCCCCAAGGCAGGCTTTTGGAAAGACCTGATGAGGTCCCAGGAGTAGGAGTAGGATCCCCCCTGGAAGCTCCTAGAGGTCACCTACATGTTTCCTAACCACAGCATTTCCAGAACTCCGGCCCCAGGAACATGCTGTGAATGGAGATAGATTCCACCCGAGACGTCAGTGATCCTGGCCTCTCTCATACTGGGAAGGTCAACACTGCCTTTCTACTCCCAGTCTGGTTGTGTGTGTGGGACTGGTGTTAGAAGTTACTGTGCTATCCAAGAAAATCCTGATGTCTCATGATTGCTTTCTCTTTTCCCAGTGCTGCCAGTCTCTTAAAAAAAAAAAAAAAAGATACTGAGAGCAAAAAGAATTTTTGTTACACATCTAAAAGTTAAAGTTCAGGTGAGTTTGTATATCCTCATTATTCGTAAAATGCACTTTAATTGTAAAGTTATGGGACCCTTTCTTTTCCTTCTTCTGAAATGTCCTGCCTACCAGTGACATTATCTGTGAATTGTGTGTGAGGTCATGCAGGTGGATCATCCTTCTCAGGACCCCCAAGCCCTTCTCCCCATAATTTAATCTGTTGCCTACAGTTAGCTATTATGTTTCTAATTTTTGATGACCAACTAAATTAGTCTATAGTGAACATCATTATGCATAGATCTTTATGTCCTTTTACAGTCATTCCCTAAGGATAAATTTCTAGTTTTGAAATTTGAGTCAAATACCAGATATTTACAATATATCCATATGCTTGTACTCTGGAATACAGTGACAAAAAGATATAGTTGCTATCCTCAAATTACTTGTCATCCAGTAAGGAAATGAAATCAAAGTAGGAATAAGATAGACTATGTGAGAGGCCACGAGGAGAAATTCAGGTGATCTGCTTTAGGAGTTCACAGGAAGAGACACCATTCTGTCTCTAGCAGCCCTGTCACAATATGATCACATTATGCCAACTCCCTTGTGTCACCATACCACACTTTGTTTATCCATTCTTGTGACAACGGGTTGTTTTCCGCATTTGACTTAGGAATAAACCTTCTATGAACACTCTTGTACGAGGCTTCATGTGGACATCTGTTCTCGGTTTTCCTGGGTATGTACTTATGGGCAGAAGTGATTGACTTCATTTACTCTCCACTGCAAAGTATAGTTACTTTTCAAACTGGCCGTCACTTGATATTGTTAATCGTTTCATTTTAGTCCATTCGGATAGATGCACAGTAGTATCTCATTGTGATTTTAATTAGCATTTTCTGATAAGTGGTTATGTAATATCTTTTCATATGATACTGTCCATTTTGATATACTCTTTATTAAGTATTCAAATCTTTTGTCCATTTTTTGGTCTGTTTTTTTGCCATTTTCCTGTTGATTTGTAGGAATTATATACATATTGAATACAAGTCCTTTGTGTGTGTATGTAAGCATATGCATGCCTGTGTGTGTGTGTGTGTGTGTGTGTGTACCTGAGATCAGAAAAAGAAAGAATGTCTTTCATTAGCCTAGAGCTTCTGACTCACTTTATTCATGATATCTTATAATGAAGAGAAGGTCTTAATTTTAATCAGTCTTTTTCTTTACGGTTATTGCATCTTTGTTCTGTTTAAGACATCTTTTCCTGGGGAAGAAGGGACAGCTCCTCCTTATGGTAGAATTCCAGGTGTTGAGTGTAGAAGGGAAGAGGGAGATAGAAAATGGCAATTAGGCAAACACCACAGAAATAGTTGTTTCAGACACAATCAACTGATAGATGCTGAAACTAGTGGGTGAAAATTTGAGGAGAGAAAGGATTTGTAGTGTCAAAATATTTCCCACGCTGCCTATTGACTACAAAGGGAAAGATAGTAACTTTACAGTGGGGAAACCCAGCAGAAAGCAGTCTAATCAAGTGTTCAAGGTTAACCTCACCAGTAATAAGGCATTGGCATCATGGGCCCTTTCTTATGGTGCGAAGAGAAGGACACAACATCATTGTGGTACTGCCGAAAATACGTGACCTCACTGCAATCATGAAAATATTAGAAAAACCAAGTGGGGGGACATTTGACAAAATGATTGGTATTCCCCCCGAGATGGCAAAGTCATGAAGATAGGTGCGGTAGACAGACTCTATGGTGACCGCTCGATTCCTGCCTGCTGGTGTCTGTGCCATTGTATAGTCCCCACCCCTGGAATACAAGCTGAGCGTCTGACTTGCTTTCAACCAAGAGAAAATAGCAAATGTGAGGGGATGTCACTCCTGTGATAAAGTTACATTATGGTCAAAGTAATGGTATGTCACTGTTGTGGTTATATCATGTCATGGAAGACTCCGTTATAGCAGACTAGAGCTAGACTCTCCTTGAGGGCTTGATGTAGTAAGCAGCCATGCGGGAGAAGCCCATATTGCCAGAAACGCAGGTGGCCTCTAGGACCTGAGGGTGTCCACCAGGTGACAGCCAGCAAAACGCTGGGGCCCTCAGTCGTATAGCTGCAAAGAAATGAATTCTGCCAACAATGCGAATGAACTCTGAAGTGGGTTCTTCCCCAGGTGAACCTCTGAATGAGAACACAGCCCAGCCAACACCTTGTTTGCAATTTATGAGATCAGCCTAAGGAGAGCATCCTGCTAAACTGTGTGCAAACTCTGGGTCCACAGAAATTGTGAGATGATAAATATGTGTTGTTGTAAGCTAAACTTGTGGTGGTTTGTTATGGCGGCAGTTGAAAACTATTACCGTGAGGAGACCATGGAGATTGGAAGAGACTAAGGACAAATAGTAGCTAAATGCAATGTGGGATCACGTATAGGATCCTGGAAAAGAAAAGGACATTAGTGTGAAAAACTAGTGATATTTGAATTAGATGTGCCATCTCTAGTATTGTCCCACTGTTAATCTCCTGGTTTTGATTACTGTCCTATGTAAGATGTTAACATTGGGGTGAGGGGTAAAAAGAACTCTCCGTACTATTGGAACTTTTTGCTAAGTCTAAAATAAGTAAAAATAGAAATTAAACTAAAAACGGGGGAAATTTTGCACATCCATAATCTTGGAGATATTTTCCTATTCTTCCAGAAGGGTTATTGTTTCAGTTTTCAAACTTAGGCATATGATCCATCTTGAATTTATATCTCTATGTAGTAGAATCAGGGTCAAAATCATTTTTTTGCACACAGACACTCAATTGCTCAGGCACCATTTGTTGAAAAAGACTATCCTTTCTGATTTATATTGCAATCAGACTTTTTTGAAAAATGTGACTATATATGTGCAAGTCTCTGTCTGGAATCTGTTCTATTGGTCTGTTTGTCAATCCTGTGTCACTATCACTGTTTTAATTACAGTAGCTTTCTGTCATGTCTTGATATCTAATAATGTGGTTTTGACAACTTTGTTCTTCAGAATTGCCTGGACTATTCTGGGTTCTTTGCATTTCCATATAAATGCAGAACAAGTTTGTTAATTTTCTTTTTTTTTTTAATATAACTTGTCAAATTGGCTGTTAATTTTCTTTAAAAAAATATCCTGCTGATATTGTTGGAGTTGCATTGAATCATTAGATCAATTTAGAGAGAATTAAAAGTTAAAATTGAGTCTTCCAATTCTTGAACATAGAATATGTTTCCATTTGTTTAATTGTTAATTTCTTAATGTTTTGTTGTTTTCAGTCTAAAAGTCTTGTACCTCTTTTGTTAGGTTTTTCCAAAGTGTTGTATTTTTTAGGTTTTTTTTCATAAACTGTTGGGATTTTGAAATTTCATTTTCCAGTAACTTTGCTTTAATACAATTAATTGTTTTATACTTTGACCTTTTATTCAACAATCTTGCTAATGAATTCATTTATCCTAATAGTTTGTAGAACTGAATTTTTTTTTCAGTGTTCAAAACCATGTTATCTGCAAACAAAGATGGCTTTACTTTTTTTTTTCCAATCTTACCTTTCATTTCACTTTTTTTTTCTTTACGGTACTGGATAGGTCTTATAGTATAAAATTTAATGGAACTGGTAAGAATGGACAACCTTACCTTGTTTCTGAACTCAGAAGGCCAGCGACCCATATTTCACCTCTCATATAACGGTAGCTGTAGTTTTATTCTGTAGATTCCCTTTATCAAATTAAAGAAGTTCCCTTCTTTTCCTAGTTTGTCGAGAATTTTTATCATGAACTGTGGTTGAATATTATCAAAGATTCTCCATCTGACAAAATGTATGAATGGCTTCCTCCTTTATTTTTTAAGTTTGGAAGGTTACATTGATTTTTTGAAAATTAAACGACCTTTGTATTTCTACATTAAATCCTTCTCATCATCTATTATCACTGGTACCATTTGGTTTACTATGCTTCCTAATATTTGGTTTAATATGCTTCCATCTATGTTCATGAGAGAGATATGCTGTAATTTTCATTTCTTGTGATTAATACCCCTGTCAGGTTTTGATACTACAGTTGGCCTCATGATATGGTCCATTTTTTTTTCTGTTTTCTAGAAGATACTGAGTTTTACTAGTATTTTTAATTCCTTCAGTGTTTGGGAGAATTTGCCACTGAAGCCTCTGGGCCTGACATTTTATGGGAAGTTCCTTAATAAAGGTTTTATTTCTTTTTTTTTTTTTTTAATGTTTGTTTATTTCTGAGAGAGAGAGAAAGAGAGAGAGAGAGAGAGAGAGAGAGAGAGAGAGAGAGAGAGAGAGACTCTTTCTGGGGAGGGACAGAGAGAGAGGGAGACACAGAATCCGAAGCAGTCTCCAGGCTCTGAGCTGTCAGTACAGAGCCCAACATGGGGCTCAAACTCATGAACCCAGTGAGATCATGACCTGAGCCAAAGTCGGATGCTTGACTGACTGAGCCAGCCAGGTGCCCCAAAGATTTTCTTTCTTTAGTAAATACAACAATATTCAGAATTTCCATTTCTTATATCTGTTCAATTAAATTTATTTCAAGGAATTTTAAAATGTCATCTACATTTTCAAGTTTATTGGCATAAAGTTGTTCATGAAATTGTCATCAATTTAATGTCTATAATATATGTAGTGATACCTCCTTTCATATTCCTGATATTGGCATTTATATTCTAGACCAGTATAGCTAGAGGCTTATCAATATTATCTCTTCAATGAAATAGTTTTTGGCTTTATTCATTTTTCTCTGTTGTATATGTGGGTTTTTTATGTCACTGGTTTATAAATTTGCTTTTCTTGGGGCGCCTGGGTGGCGCAGTCGGTTAAGCGTCCGACTTCAGCCAGGTCACGATCTCGCGGTCCGTGAGTTCGAGCCCCACGTCGGGCTCTGGGCTGATGGCTCAGAGCCTGGAGCCTGTTTCCGATTCTGTGTCTCCCTCTCTCTGCCCCTCCCCCGTTCATGCTCTGTCTTTCTCTGTCCCAAAAATAAATAAACGTTGAAAAAAAAA